GTGCAACACCGGGACCATACTAAATCCGCCACCGCGTATGGATATAAAAATCGTAAGTAAAAATATATTATTTTTTAATGGGAGTAATCTAAATGAAAGTTGTAGTAGACTAAAATATGAACGCATTGATATAAGGATCGTTAAAATCCGAGATTATATGAAGAAGTTATGACGTTCAGAACACATGACCTAAGCAACCAAGTAGTCGAGATCGCGATGGATATAAGCATCAAAAGCCTCATACACCTCATTAATGAATGTCCCATGTAAGATTTTGTGAGAAAAAACTAAAAAATCATTCATAAGTACTGAATGAGTACAAAAAAATGACTTATTTTGCCAAAAAAAAAGGACTAAATGTGTACAAAGTGAGAAATATATTACCCTATTAAGTCATTTTTACCGGGTAACCAGGAGTAGCCGGTCATAAGGACTGAATGTATACAGTTTAACAAGTTGAAGGGGTAAATGTGGACAAAAAAAAAACTCAGTGACCAAATGTGTACAAATCGAAAAATATATTACCTTCTTAAGTCATTATCCCTTCGATTATTTTTGTATCTGTATCAAAATTCTTAGTTCTCATTGCCTATAATGAATAAAAATATTATTAAAAAGTTAATCATATGGTATTTTAAGATGAAAATAATACAACGTTTTCAATTTTAAGTTATTTAAGAAAAAAAATCAAGCTATAATATAAAATGTTCCGTTTGTTTGAGTAAGAATATAACTAATTGTTATCAAAACAATATTACAATTATGATATTTTTTTCGATAAAGTTTCGATATAGATTGTATCTATTATTTACAAAGAAATAAATAGAGATGATTTATTTAAATTGTTCTGAGTTTATTAACATGTTTTAAAAAAAAAATAGAAATATATTACTTTTCATTTTTATCTTATGTATTAAACTTTCATAACAAAAACAACAAATCGTTTCACCTTATTATAGATAATTTGTTACAAATTTATTTTTATTATGTAACAAGATAATGCTATTTATAACTGATTTATTTTTATTACAAAAAAATTACATTAGAAAATGATTTATCGAACTAAAACAATATAAAGATAGAATTGAAACGTCTATATAAATAATTCAAGAGGGAGAATGTCGTTTTGAAATTATGAACTGTCATATCCATAAGCAAGGGCGAAGCCAAAAAAAAAAATTTAGGGTGGTCCTTTTATATATA